TTCTGGTTCTCCTTTTCCTTGAGGTTTAATAGTTTAGGGTTTTAAGAGTTTCTCATGTTTTTCTCATTTTCACTAGTCCTGCAAAAGTATTTTAAACACACCTTAGGCAAATATTTTGCTTTCATTCATATCTATAGCTGCTCTTTCACAGCTGCTCAAGTCCACCTTGAAAAAAAATATAGATATTAAATCATCTCCCATACAAACTCCAGTCTTGCAAGAACTAAGCATTAATTAAACTACTTTGGAGACAGGCTTAGCAAAATACTTCTATATAAAGTACCCTAGGGTAACATTTTAGCACATTTCATATTATTCTCAGAAGGTCAGTGATCTGTGCTAATCAGAACAGCTTGTGGGACTAACTCACTAGCAAGGTGCAAACATGGCTCTGTTAGCACTCTGTGGTGATATATAATAAATGTGTAGTATTTCCATACACTTCTGGAGCTAGAGAGTATATCTAGAAAAGAGGGACATAAAGCAGTTACACCCATGTATACATGTGCAGTAGTAATTATAGTTGTAGTAATAGTAGTAGTAATTATAGTTGACTATTGCCTTTTGCCCCATGATCCTAAAGTGCTGATACATATGTATAGTATCTATGAAATGTAGCCATCTGGTACTGAACATGCTGCACAAGGACACAGGGTCAAATCCTCTCCCTTACAAAGAGCTTGAGGAATATATGCAGGTGGGTTGCTTTTTCTTTTTCCTTTAAAGCTTGCAGCCAAAAGGCTTTCCCTCCCTTCATTCCTATCGTGTAAACTGCACAAGACTCAGTTGGTCTCAGCAGGACAAAGGCCGAGTCAACACTTTTAAAAATGTAATTCAGGGGAGCATTTAAAATGTAGTTCAGGGGAGCCTAATGACAACCCCCCCCGATACTGAGACCATTAAGCCATTTCCTCCAGCATTGAAGGTCTGAGACTATTTCCTACTTAATACATTTAGAACCAGATTCTGGCTACCTCTAGGTTGGAGTACTTGATTAGACTTACTTAGGTTTTTGCAATCATATCATGCAGATCCAGATGACAGGCTTTTGGGGGAAAAAAAACTGGCTAATCTACATTAACTTATCAGCACTATTGGAGCTGCACTGTTTCTATAACAACCATGGGAGAAGTCCCCTAAACCTTTGATATGAGACATCCACCGACCCTTCTTCACCAAAAACTTAAGGACCTGTATTTCATCAACTATTTAGTAGGCCTGTGCGAAGTGAAAAGTACTCACTTTGGATTTGGCCAATTCAGAGGGACAGCGATTTGATTTGGTGATTCGAATCACTGTCCTGATTTGATTCAGGCCGAATCTTTTCCAAATCAATTCAGATGCTTCCAGTTTGATTCAGAGCTTTTAACTGGTCTCCCCATTCGATTTGGATTTAGAGATTCGGCCGCTGAATCGGGCCAAATCTCCTCTGAATTGAATTGGCTACCGAAGCTCTGTACAACAGCCCTACTATTTAGTTGCCTGAATGGTAACAAAAAAAGGAAACTATTCTGTTAAAACAGGGCTGAGTTATTTTTATACCTCCAAATTGGCAGATCTTGTTCATATATCTTCACTAACAGTAAAACATAGCTCTAGACTGAACTCATTAGGCCAATCTACAATAACAATGGGAGAAGATGGCATTGTGCCCTAACAGCAGTTGAAGGTGTTTAGTTTTAAGTGAGGCAGAAGGCTTGAATCAGAGAGGATGATCAGAGATGCATCTGAAGAGGTGAGCTCTTGCTCAAAGAAGATTATGCATCTCTGCTTCTCAGTTAGTCTATAAGGTGCATATTTGCCTTGCCTTCTGTCTCACAAGTTTTTCAGCTTCTTGCAGGGCTGTGTCCTAATTGATTGCAAAGTGATCATATTAAACTTAGATGCTGTAGGTTGCACTATTAATTTGTCATTATTTCTGTCAGAATTTCAGTTAGACCAAGTAAGACGATACTTAGGTTTTCACCTGGAATAAAGGAGTATTTTGCTTGAAATCCCTTTCCTTCTAGTTCCTCATCTGAAGTAAACTTGATCCACATAAACCTCCCTGTTGATCTAATTAGTGCAGGACTTTTCAGACCACAATATCGATCGATGAGGGGGGAGAAACCAAAAGGTCCATCTCGAACCTCCAGGTGATCAAATCGACATTCAAACGAGGGTTCTATATAATAAGGTTCATCAAAGGTCAACTCAATTCTTTGGCGTGGAGCAGCTACAACACAAAAATGTCAGCACAACATTAATTGAAGATCTATAAAGCAGATAGTGGGAAGTGAAATAATGAAGAGACAAACCCCCGAAGTAGCAAGGTAAAAGCCAGAGGCACTTCGCACTTCTTAAAATAATATATTTTAAGCCTGCTGCAGTAACTTAGACATGCTCTATAAATCAGAGTGACACAACCATATGGAAGTCATTGTTTAATCAGGTTTTTAAATTATGGCTTTATTATTTTCTACTTTTCATCAAATATCCCAATTCAAAAGACCAAAACATGAAAATTATAGTCAAAATTACTGTGCATCATAGAGCAGGGGGTGGCAACCTACAGCCAGATCTGGGCCATGAAAAGGTTGCTTCAAGCCTGGGAAGGTCCAAGCCAGTATGGGGTGGCATGGATCTGCACTGAAGTGACCGTTTCCTCCATAGCCCTCCCTTCTGATTTCTTGCATCTGTGCTTTACCCTGGCACAGGGGGGGCACATCTTTGCAGCAGAGGTAAGCACAGGTGGCTTGAGCTCTCCAGAAGGGTAGAGCTTGTCAATCCCAGACAGATCATAGCACTGCATGCAAAAACCATTTTTATTCTAGGAGCATAAGCCTGGAAGTGGGGTCTTGGACCTCCAAGTCCTGTTCCCTCGGTCAGCAGGCAATCATCAATCCAAGAAATCCCCATATTCATCATTTCAAACCCACACAATGAGCTACAAGACACAATACCCAAAACACTTGAGAGCAACCTATAATATGCCAGGTAGAAAAGCAGGAGAGACAAGGGCACTGACAATGACCTGCTACTGAAAGGATGGGGAAGTAGTTTGTTAGAAGATACTCAGAAGTTGCTACAGAGGAAAACAACCTCCGCTCCCCATCTCTCCCATGGCTCCTGTCAATCTAAACTGGGGAAAAAGTCTTTCCTGACCCCAAGTTTGGCATTTGGTACGACTCTGAGCAGGGAAGTAAGATCCTTTATCCAGAAATCTCTGGATTTTCAATAACATTATAAGTACTGCTTATTAAACTGTAAAAATCAAATCAATACCTCAAACTACTTGGGGATACCACAGACAAGTCAGGGAGGAGAAGTCCAAAAGCAGAGGAGAAGAGAGTTGAGGGAGAAGACAGAAGAGGCGGGGGAAGGAGACTGGGACTGGCTGTGAGTCATTTTATGTTTTCTAGATAAAATCTAATTTTTTTTTTTTAATGGAATCCAAATTTCTTCATATGCATGCAGCTGAATATGCCTCTCAAAAGCCTTATAATTGTATGTACTGTTTAAGCTCTTTCAAAGATTCAGTACACACCTATCATGCATGTATACATTTATCATTCAAATATTCTAAGAAGTTTGATCCAAAGTCCACAGGAATCAGACTCCCATGGACTGGATCAGGCCCTAAGGCCTAGTGTAGGTGTGTGTCAATATACAGGTGTGGCCTTGGCACTCACTTTCATGAACTGGCTTTATGCAACTACTGTTCAGTGGTTTAATGTTCCTTGTTCTAGGAGTTTTTTTTATCTCATACAGCTTGTTTAGACATAAAATTGTGGGTGCTGCATCTAGAAGTTTGAGTGCTTTCCTTGCCCAGACTAAAGTGAATTGAAGTAAGACTAGTACAGCCACAAGGGACTTTACTCACTGTAACAAAACATATATATTTTTAGCAGTTCAACTTTAATCACATTCAACACCAAGAAATCAACACAATGAAAGAGAAAGAGTGCAATACCTTCTAAAATGTAGATACACTCCTGGTTTGGCGGATATATGTCAGGATAATTTGGGGAAGCAAAATGTCCTCCATTACTTGTCCTAACCCAGTTATCACATTGGGTGGGCGGAATGTGATTTACTCCAATATTTTGTCCACCTTAAAATAAAACAAAACACCAAGATTCTGACCCCAGTACAAAAAAGTGACTTTGCAAACAAGCATCCATTGCTTCCTTTTCAGACACTGTTCTTGGTGTAATACATCCTGAAAAGACCACTGTTTTGGAGTATCAGGTCTTCAGTGACAGTTTAGGGTAGGTAGTAGGGCTGTGAGAAATAGCTCCGTTTCATTTTGACTTCTGTTTCACCATTTCAACAGGACAGCGTTTCAGTTAGAGTTTCATTTAGTTTTGAAAGCACTGTTCCATTTTGTTTCGTCAAAGCTGTTTTGCTGTTTCGACATTTCGTCCATAGACTATAATGGGGAAGCACAAAACTGCCTATAGCTTTTTCATTCTTTGCCTGATTCCAATGAAACTTGCAGGGACGGTAGCCTCTTCTGAGACCATCAAGCCTGCCAGGTTTCAAGGAGATGGGTGCAGGGGTTTCTGGGAAACTGCACCTCAAGCTTCTGACCAGCAAAACTTGTGACATGTGACTGTGTGCGTTAAGGTGCAGCTGTTTTTCCGTCCCTCCCCGAGAGTACTGGGATGGGAAGGGACCTCAGCAAAGGATCACAGTCACTGGCCAGCTACACAGTCAATATCAGAGCAGTCCTTTCCCCCCCTCTTCCCCCTCTTTAGTTTCTGTTTAGCTGCAAGCAAGCCCAGCTTAGAACCTCAAAATGTTTTGAAACGTTTCGAGTGCCCTCATTTAGTTCTGAGGCTGTTTTGAAGCCTTTCGTTTTGATTTTGCTGTTTTGAGCTCGAAACAAGTTGAAACAGCATCAAAACGAAACACCCAGTGAAATTCTGCGGAGCCCCCGTGGGTAGTATCCAGGGAACCTGAATTAAAGATTACAATCTAATTGAGCCCGTTCAAGTTTCCCAGTCAGATAAGGACTCTGAACTGGATGTAAAGTGGGTGCCTTACCATGGTGTCAGGGATATAGAAATTAACAACCAGTCAAAATAATTATTATGTTATTCAGATGATAGGCAGAGTAATGTTAATTTCATATTGTTATTTGACCCAGTCTCAAAGAAAAACTGTTAAAACATAAGATCAGTAGGACAATGGAACAAGTTGCCTTGGGAAGTTGTGGAATCTATTTCAGCTGGAGGTTTTCCAGGAAGAGGCTGGATTGGCACCTGTCTGGGATGGTTTAGGAACAGCAAAGCCTGCATCCATACACATTAGGTGAATTGGTTGATCTTTGAGGTTCATTGCAACCTAAGTCTAGCTAAAATAATGGATTAAAATTTTGAAAAAGCAATGGCCTAAGTACATAAAAGAAGGAAAAGGATCTGAGCAAAATGTGGGAAGAAAGTTGAATAAAGAATGGGTCTTTGGGCACTGCCAACTCTTAAGAAACCCAGTAATACTAAAAAAGGTGCAGTTTCAGGCCTACAGAGGTCCTGCACTGAGGAAGAAAATAAGAAGTGTTTGAATACAGAGAAAGGAATGTAAGGGGTTAATAAACAGCTGTGCTCTGGAAGGATGAGCAGAATGGGACGTGGTCAGTAAGTGGTGGGAAGGGAGGTGTACAGGGGCTGGAGACAGGCCATGGAGTAAAAAAGGATGAGAATTCTTGTACTAGAATTTTTAGATTTTTTTTTTACAATAGTCATTACTAAACCTGGTAATATTCATTAGCTAAATAACAATAATTAGTAGAAGGAATATTGTACTGCCCAGGGCCTCAACTAAGATCAAGGTCCCATTGTGTTAGACACTGTACCAACATTTAGAAAAATGTATCCCTGCCATGAGCTTATTTCAGATGACAAACGAGGGACCAATCTGAATCAGGATGCCAGGAGCTATGCCATAGAGCAAGGGCCTTCCAGGCACACATTTCCCTACATATGGAGAAGGGGAATGGGAATAGTGCCATCTCTGACATGCCAAACAATAGACATCCTTCTGTGGGGTTTGCAGGCTTGGAAGGAAGGCAGGCATAGAAAAATTGGTTTTTATTAAATCATTCCTGGTCTCACACTCTTAACGTACACAAGCAGTTTACCTTACTGACTGGAGAATTAGCCCTTGAGAGAAGTTTCATGATGATAAAAGTTTTCTGGGCGTCTCTAGTGGCTTCTCCCAAGATGCACTAGAACCTTGAGCTCTAGGTTCTGAGCACGTACAATGTTCTTGTGCAGAAAATATTAAAGGAAATGTTGTCATCTACTTCTCTCCCCTTTTGAAACCATTTGCTGCCTTCCCCACCTCCTGAATGGAGATTAGCCGGTAAAATTTTGTAATAGAGACATAGGAAGCATGTGGAGAAGCATGCTGTCAGATAGAGAAAACAAAGGATTCCGCGGCGGTTTGTTCCACCTAGAAGGGACAAACCAATCTGGAATGCAAAAAGGCTTTGTTATGTTGCCATTTACTTCTTGTCTTGAATCTGGTAGTTTTGTTAATTTGGATCAAGATCAGGGAAAAATAGGGGGAAAAGTCCAAGGTAAATGTTAATAACTGAACTGCTGCCAGTGCAAGTAGAATATTTTAGCAGAACTGTTTTTTATCTTGCTTAGCTTATTTTAAATGACAAAACTATTACTTTTCTTTAAAAGAAAGTCAGCATGCCAGTGGTATTGTACCTTGCGTCTTCTGTGCCACGGCAATCCCTTCCACAACGAGCATTGTTATTAACAACACTGGTGAAAGAAACAGAAGAGAAAATATCAGTAATACAACAAAAACCAGAGGCCCCTTTCTTGTAGTCCTCGTTCAAGGCAAGCTCCTCACATGGCTCCAAAACACAACAGTAAAAATACTCAAGAATTAAAACTAAAATGATTTAAGTTCTTAAGACGCTTTAATGTTTATAAGCACTATTGGAATTAAAGTCCTGATGACTGAAGTTCTCCATTGCTTCCTGAAGTACACAGTCCACCGCTAGGTGGACTGCTTACCTTTGCTGCCTTGCCAGTGTATTTCAGTACTTGAGCTAGAGATCAACTCTAACAAGAAGGTAATACAGCTTCCGTATTTCAAACCTCATCTCTCCACTGAGACGTTTAATAAGTACATTAATTTTAGTAGCAGATTGGCGAGTCCTCTAGGAATTGGAATAAGGTCATCCAATTGTGCACTGGGTTTTACTATAGAATTGTACAGTTACAGTGGAATGATTTTAAATTTGTAATAGTGAGCATATACATGCTTACTCTCCTAGTTAATGTAATTTTGTGTAACATGTCCACTTATTTTTCCCTCCAACCACTGTAATACCAGTGTATTGGGGATACATGCGTCACAGGATGCTGAAGGAGGTGGTTATAACAGCAGTGACCCATTACCAAGAAAAAGGGCTTGACTTTTTTTTTTTTTTTAAATGGAAGCTCTATAAATTTGCAGATATTTCATAAAATTAAATAGCATCTTCCTTGCATGACATCATTATTATTTTCTCAAAACAAGAAAAGCCTTCGTATTGTTGAATTGCACCTTTATATAAGAAAAGGTCCTGTGTTTCTACAATTACAAGATTGCAGTAGCTCACAAAAGGGAATTCAAACTACAGAGTATGCTGCACAATCTGGTCACTGAAGGGATTGTAAGAGCACTGTGGGACTACCCTGGGAGGACTTATTGCAATGATACAGCCACAAGGGCAGCAATTTCTGTCTAAACCATCTGTGTAATGGTACAGAATAAGATGACGCAGGATCTAGCAGTAGAGAGCCTGTTTTGAGCAGGTGCAAGTACCAGGATTCTGGCAACCACTGTGCACCATTCCAAAGCACTCTTATATGCCACTGAGTTGTCTTCCTAGTATGGCAGATGCTTGCAAATGTCAGCATTTTTTAAATATGACCTGCCTAATGAACATTTTTATATAGACCTGATAACTGTTTTTGAGGATGATGCTGCCTTTGCCATTCAAATTGCTCATCTGCGGGCTTCAACTTCTCCTGTGCATTCAGCTGCAACCTGAGCATTAACAGCACCCATGGAGAAAACGATTGTTTTCACCACTTTTCACTGCAAGCCTGACTGGGGTTAAGGCTCCGGTCCTCCACACAGTGTTGCCTCTCAGATGCTGGAGGATCAGGATGACTCAGGAGGAATACTCCCAAACACATTTCAAATCCCAAGAATCTTAGCTAAAACAAAACATCTTTTAAAAAGTGTCTGGGGCAGAGAGGGAATCCTGCCTCTTTTCCAAAGCCAGATTATAGTTCAGCCTGGCAGGGCACAGTTCACTGTTGTAAAGCAGGGATTTCAACAGGCATTCTCCATGTCAGCACTTATAGGTTCAGGAGCTCTTCTCTTATTCCCCCTGCAGTGCTTTACAAGGCTGCCAGTTACAGCCTTTGAGCCTTTCTAAGTGGGCAGGATTGGGCTTGCATTGCCTGGCACGCAAGCTATATAAGCATCCTAGTTTGTCTTCATAGCACCTTACTGTATACTATGCTCCCCACAGCATCACTACAATCTTCCAGTTGTTTTCACAATATGCACCTCTACTATCCCTTTCCATTTCCAGCCCACATTGACATAACTTCCATAAAGTTACCTGCTTTTCCACACAGACAATTGTTTTCTATCTTACTAAGCTGGTTCATTAATGCGCATGGCCTTTGTATTCCAAACTGACTTACCGATCTTTCAAACAAGGGTAACACTCCTAGAGGCATCTCTGCTTTCCCTGGGTTAACCGTCAGACAATAGATCAGACTCAGCAAGAGCCTTGAAATCCCCACACGTATAATAATTGCAGATTTTCATTAATGCTAATCTATAGCAAATATGATTTTCCCAACAGATGGTATCCTATCTGTTACAGAAGGTAAAAACCCCTTGATTATTACTAACTTGCCCTGGGCTTGGGAAGACCTCAGAGAGAAAAAAGGGTCCAGTGACTTTATAAGTCTCCAGAGCCATGCTGTTCTACTAGTTAATCATTGCCAAAACAAGAGCATATATTGACATACAATCAATATCTTAATGTTTACAATTGTTGATGGAGTGGCATTTACTGTTATGAATTCATTTTTTTTTTTATTTTTTTTTTTAAAGATTGTGGTCTTCTTTAAATATCTCTTTAAACTTACAAAATTCAAGGATCTGTGTGCATATTCATAGAGAAACTAATCATAATGCATGTTTTGTTCCCATGGTTGATATAAAGAAAAAGTTCATTATGTTACCAGTTTTTCCCATAAGGAAGCTTTATCACTGCTGTAAAATTATCTTGATTTTTCTCCATTCTCTGCTCCATTGGCAAGTGGAGCAAGAAGCTTAAGGTAGCTTTTATATCTGAATTGAGTGCAGTTGCACAGTTCCATGTAAATAATGTATCAATACATTATGCCATGGGTTTGCATCTTCTTTAAGATGCTGCAGCATGTCTGACCTCTGCTCTGTAACAATGAAGCAGTCTCAAAGAAATCAAATTACACCAGCTTTCATAGCTTTGTACTGCTTTCTATAGTACAAAATTGGAAAGATCTTAAACAGAATGGATCATTTTTAATTATACAAATACAGAGATTGTTTATGCAGGTAACAATTTTAGACAGCCAGTCACCTCCAAATGACAATATGTTCACCTTTTTTAGTAGCGATACCTACCAGGGCCGTCATCTTTTTAACATATTTTTCCCCTCCCAATTAAAAAAACCCAACTCAGTAGGTGTCAATATTTATTCCAATGTTACTGCTCACTAGCTTTTCAAATATAGACAAAGCCATGCTATATTTCAGTAACAGTATCCAGCGATTTCCCTTCTTGAAATGATGCAGCCACAGAAACAGACCTTCTAGAGGATTTTCAAAAATCTGATTGGCTTTTACTAAAATGCATGCTGATACTAAAAATAGTTGAGAGGTGTGTGTGGTGTGTGTATAAATGCAACAGAACAGCCTGCAATTCCTACAGAACAGCACAGACAAATAGCAGATAAGCAGGCAATTCCAGCAGATAAATGGTTTAGATATTTGTCTACTTTTACTGTAGGGCTATATTCCTCCTCCCATTCACTTCATCTCCCCCTCCCTTTCTTGTTTCTCATTTTCCACTTCTTTAGTCTTCTTCCCCCTTTTCCTTTTGTCGGTTGCTTATCAGTGGGCTAGTTCTCTAATGCTCTTCCAAGAGTCTTTGGAGATCTCACCTGAAGCAGCCCTACTTCTAAATGTTGAAAAGAGATCCTTTTGCTGTTCCCTTTGCTCCTGGTAGCAGGGCAATAATAATGGGATAAGGAGTCTTGCATGAAAACACATCTGCAGCTGGGGTGGCTGTACTCTCAACAGCAGTGATTCTCAGCTGGGGTTCTGTGAGATCCTTGTATGGGTGCTGTGGATTGCGATCCAATATTAGCACTGTTAGGTGTGCAAACACCTAAGCGTGATTCAAAAGTATAACCCCAGAGATTTCAAACAGGAATCCTTAGTGTCAAAAACATTCTTGCTTTTGCACACAGTCTGAAAATGTAGTACACAAATATGTCCTGAAGGCCTACTGTCTTCTGACATAATCTTGTTAGACTTGAGACATGGATCAGGAGATCTAGAGAAAAGTCAGGCTGCTTGAGGCAGTTAATCCTCCTCAAATATCCCAGTGTAATGTTTAGGAGCACAGAGGTACCACTCAGAGGAGACAAAAGTGTCTACAAATACCACCTGAATGTGGGCAGGGCATATGGGAGAATAAGACCATCGTAATCTGTGTTAAATTTTTTTTAGCTAAAGGCCTGGCACAGCTCTTAGGGTTTGGGGTATTTCCGGGGGGAGGAAGGGTTGTGGGATATGTACTGGAGGAGGCTGAGGTGTGGGAAGCTCTCCACATGACCCTGCAGACTTGGTCAGTAAGATTCATGGAGCAACTGGGACAATAGCCCTGGGTGCCCATGGACCCCCAGAAACAAGCCAAAAGAAACTCCCAGTCAGCTGCGGGCTGGCTGCACCGTCACCACAGGCACCCAGAAGTGGTTGCTTCCCCAGAGGCCAGCCTGCCCTGTTATATCTCTGTGCTGCATGTTTTGGAAAACTCAGATGGAGCTGCAGGAAACCAGCTGCCTCAAAGTCAATGCACCAGCCAAAGGTAAAGACTAGGGATTAATTCAGCCTTTGTGGATCTGAGTTCTATGATTGTGGAGCTTGCATGTTCTACACAAACTTTCACATCTCCACTCCTCATTCAAGGGGAGATCAAGCTTAAGAGAGAATCTGTGAGTTTCTGCCTTATTAAAAAAAAAGACAACAAAATAAATACCTTCCCTTCCCCATACCTGCATACAACAATTCCGCCGATAGAGTCCACAAAAAGCTTTAATAGTCTTCAGGTTTGAAAGTTCCACATATTATACTCCACGCCATGACTGCTACTCAGTGGGTGCGTCTACACGTGTCGCTATGGTGACATCATTACTGCGCTGTGATTTAGTACAGGCAGTCCTCGACTTACAACGTTTCGCACTTACAACCTCTAGAAATTGACACCCCGTTTCAACTTTATGATGTCCGTTTCAACTTACAACACTTGATCTGATGCAACGCCACACAAGCGAACAAGTTTGCTATGTCGCTTATCTCCCTGGAGAACATCTGTCCAAACTTCCTTGGACGCTTTCTTTAAGAAAGCAGACAAGACTCCAGAAAAACTTGCAGCCAAGACTCCTGAGAAGATTCCAGCCAAGAACCCTTCAAAAAGTCTAGCAAAATCACCTCAAAGAAGTCCTTCCAAATCAATATGATTGCTATTTACGATATAAATATATTAATGTAGCTATATTACTCATCTATAATTGATCGAGTACAAAATTCTGGGGTATTTTTGGTGAAAATAGGGTATCAGGCTTTGCTTCAGGAACCAATCCCCCATTTACAACATTGTTTCTTATGAGAAAATTGGTTCTGAGTTATGTTTCGACTTAAGACGTGGTTTTCAGGAATCAATTGTGGTAAGTCTGAGGACTGCCTGTACTTCCCTTTAGGAGTACTAAACCATGGCACTGTAACGGCCCGTACTGCGCCGTGCACGCTGTGCGTGGTTATTTTTAGCAGTTACTTTGCCGTAGCAGCACACTATAACAGGGGAGCATGACGTACAGTGAAGTAGCTGCTGGCCACATGTAAACCCCTGCAGATGCTACATCACTGTAGCGTGCTGTTATGGCAACATGGCATCACATGTAGATGTGCCCTGTTAGCAGGCCTATGTTATGTTTTCAAAATATATCATCTGAAATTCAATGAAACGTGCGTTATTTGGGGGAATTAAATGGTTTAGTTGCTGGCATTTCACAGCTGTTCTAGAAATTTTTTTAAAACAGGAAAAATATAAAATACCATTAATTTACTGAAAAAGAGAGTTGTAATTACAAGTAACTACAAAAAAGCCCCTTGTCTTATATTCACCTACAAAGCAGAGGGGGGAGCAGGTGGTTGCTGCAGCCGTGGCACTTGCACTTAACCTAGGTCGGGGCCAAAGTTGGACCCACAGCAGCCTCCTGCTCCCCTGCAGCTTTTGCCCTCCCCACCCACCTCTTCCCTCTTACTATCAGGCATGTGGCTGGTTGGCCAGGCAGGGGAAGAATTTCCATGTGCTCCAGCTCAGACCGGGCTCTCTCCCAGGCCCAGAGTACACGGACTCCTTACTCTGCTCAGCCCATCAGCAGTGCTCACACTGCTGCATAGTCAGGCAAAGGCTAGGTTTCCATGTGCTGTGCTTCTGGACAGAGCAGCCTGAGCAGGGTCTAACAGTCAAGGGGGCGGAGGGGAAAGAGGCAGAGACTGTGGGAAGCGGGGGGAGGAACAGAAGCTGTGTGGGAGCTGGGGGTGGGAGTGCGGGTAGGAAGGCTGCAAGGGGAAGAAGTGGGCAGTGCAGAGGGTAAGGGAGCCACTAGACTGCCCCCCACCCCTGTCACTACTTTCCCTGCAGTAGCAGTGGGGTGGGGGGAGGGATTCAAGACAACCCTGAAACACAGTAAAACCCTCATGAATCCGGCATTCTCAGAAATCTGGCACTGGAGTGGCTGCTCTGGGACCGGCTGCCGCTCCACACCCCCTCCCCCCCAGTGCTCCCCGGATGCAGAGGAGAAAGCTTGCATGCAGCGGCTGATGCTGCCATTAACCACCCTGTACCACCGTGGCTGCTCCAGGACCACCTGCTGCTACCCCCCCTTGGATTTAAAAGATCCGGCATTTTCAGATATCTGGCAGGTGCTTGGTCCCAAGCATGCGGATCATGAGGTTATACTGTATTTAGGATTCTATACCTGGAAAACTGTAACACAGTTTAATACTTTCCATATATAAAATCTAATTGTTGGAGGGTTAGTCTTATATTTGAGTAAATGCAGTAGCATGGAAAAAATTCTTTCTACTTTTTGAAGAAATACTTAGACACTTACGTACATGATAGTCAGGATCCTGTGGATAAGATGCCAAGTACATCTTAATTCACTCTCATCTTGATAGAAGTACCAGGCACACAAATGCACACAATAAATTGGCAACACACAGGTCATGAATGGTAAGGAACCCTGTCAGGTACGAACTCTAGTCCCCCTTGGGAATGAATGCTTTTTGCATCTACTGTACTTAACTTTAGCTACTAACTTGTATTGTGAAACCTCAAGTTAATCATAACAGACTAAGAGTCAGAGTACATGTACCAATCAATCTGTTGTATATACTCATGTTAATTTCAGCTGTGATAGTACTGGCCTATCTATAACTTGAGTTTGGGGTCTCAGAGTAGTTCACAGAGATCCAAAGTCTGGGTTGGGGTCAACTAGGGTGCTAGGCCTATACAAATGACCCAGTAAAGACTAGTTCTGGCAATCTAAGCAGACAAGATAAAAAGTGAGGCGGGAACAAGAGATGCTTTGGGGAGGTCATCTCTCTTCCTTTCAGGGAACGTGGCCAGTGCATAAGTTTCCAGGGTCAGGCTGTGGATAGCTCATAAAAGAAGTGATTTGGAAGGTCCAGGACAGTGAGTTCCACTGCTGCTGGTTGCTGTCATTTAGTGATACGTGTTAGTAGTGCAAAGGAACGTCAGTCTGCAACTGTGGCTGCTTTGTCAGGCACCTAACTGTACTAGCCAGCAGGAAGACACAGCAGCTTAAGAGCTCCTCTTTTGATTATACAGACTTTTGTGGTACAAAGGATTTGAATTTCTCCCAATTCTTTGTGACCACCTCATCAGCATGTTTCAGATGGCTGAATGAGAAGGAGGCAGAAGGCAAGCAGGATGGATGTCTGGCTAGAATTTACCCAATGGATGTTATTTTTCTAAGAGATGCATCTCTATATGACAGGCAAATGAATGATGGAATGCAGTAGCAGTAGTTTAGCAAGTGTGGATTAGGGGAAGGCAGCTTTTAGCTGGTTCATAAACAAGTCCTGTCCAGAATGTGCTAATCTGGTTGTCAACCACTTTTAAAATTTTGCTGTACAAGAGCTCTGTAACAGAAGTGTGCTTCATCAGCAATAGCACCTTTCCAGCACCAAATCTCTGCTGGCATGTAAAGTGCCAACAGGATATTTGAATATATTCAGACACAGTCATGTTGTGAATCATTGCTTCCAGTATGACTCCTCTCTACGAATATCAAACAGGCAAGCTGAAGACCAGTTTTCTGTGGTTAAAGCAGGTTAGCTGGTTTCAAGGAGTAAACATAGTTCTCCCTCACTCCTTTGCTTAAGGCCAGTGGCAGATCACTCCATGACTGAAGAGGCAGACTAATCCACATTCGAGAGTCATTTCCAGGTTTTCTCAACAGGGTCGGCAAAATTTTCTGACTCCCTTTTCTCTAGGAAAAAACTGGCAGTTTCAGTTGATCTAGGTCCCGTTCGCTCTTAATCCACCCTTGGGTACATCTACAAGCAGAGCTGCACAGCTTCTGCAGGGGAAGAAAAAAAGAAAAATGTTCTGCTTCCAAGCAGGGGCTTTCCCTCCACCATGCACGTTTGTTTACTGGCTCTTCAAGATGCCTGCGGCAAGAGGCTGCAGAGAAGGCTGCATCCACGCGAAGGGGGTGTGAAGGGTGCCTAGAAACTCCTTGCTAAAATTATACCATGGAATTAGAAGAAAGATGACAGAACTGATCTGCTCTCCTTTGCTTATATTGCCTGTACATCTCTGCCGGAGTTGACTTTATTGCTGGTTCTCTCATAAGAGAACACTTCTGAAGAGCAACATTTTGAATTTCAGAATAGAGCAGACTGTAACAAATTTTAAAGACATTTCCTGACCCCTTCTGTTCATTTGTTGAAACTGTTTCTTTACTCTCAACATACCCAGCATGTTTTTAAGGGAAAAGACATTTCCCACAAACTCTGTCTGAATATATTTGTTTGTTAAACATTCCTGCCTCTTACCTTGTTTAGGAGAACAATTATGTCAAAATAGCAAAATGATTGCTTTTCCTAGTCCCTTACTTTTCCTCCCTGAACCTCCCCCGGTTCTTGGGCCATGCAGGGAATTTTTCTGATAAGCAGTTTTAAAAGCATTGACAGCCCCTCCCTGCCATTCATCAGAGCAGAAATGCTTAATACAGGTCCCAATAAGAAACATCAGATAGAGGGAGGCAAAGAGTGGTCAAATAAATGAGGAACATGTTCACTGGGGAGCAGGGGGAGGGGATGGTGCAGGAAATCAGTTGCTGTTTTCTGTTGAAATTTTTCAACAAGGTGAAATGATGCTATTGGAGGTGGGTTCCCAATCTGGGAATGCAAGCAGCTGATCATCTCCCAGCATGTAAGCAGCCTAATAGATACTTCAGGAGAGAGAAGCAAACTGGTGTAACCAGTCTGCTTCAGGGGAGCAACAAGCTCTGATCATCACAAGCTCCAAGACACCAGGAATACAAATGCATAACAGCATGTTTTGGTCCAAGAAGACCAAATCCCTTCACTGCACTTGTAACTTTCCTAAATGGGATAATTTTGTAAATGAAATGTTTGGGACCATCTGCAATTTCAGGCACAATTACACAGTTTGCAATAAAAACTGCTCCCAACACCAGACTGCTCATCACTGACTTGAACTGTGCATTTGTGCTAGGTCCATTTACAGATAGATAAAAGCTGCTAATATGCATTTTTTGTCTCTCCCCACAAAATACATTTGGGGGAAGAAAGATGAAGTAAATTGTAACTTTTTCATTATGATTATGTATTTCCCTAGTTCCTTTAGTCTTAATGCTATGTCATTCTCTGCTCTCATTTCAATTGTGCAAATGAACGTTCACTATTGAAGTGTGTTTATATTAGTTTTCCCATACAATTTTTAAGTGCCAATGTCACATATCCTGTTTTAGGAAAATTAGGAATGTATAAACTTTTTTTTTCTTTTGAAGTTGAACTGCTTGGAATGTAACACACATTTACATTTTCTATGTCCATAATTGTGTTAACAAAATGCACTCTACCAAGCACAAGATGGCACAGAATAGGGATGGCCAACCTGTGGCATAAGTGCCACAAGTGGCATGGGCAGCCTGTGTGTGGGGCATCTGGCAGACTGGGGAGGGGACAGAAAGCGGAACAGAAGATCAGGCAGGGAAAACAGGGCAGGAAGCAGAGCAGCAACTTGGTCAGAGAGAGGAAAGTTGAGCAGCAGATTAGGCAAGGGAAAGGGATTGGAGTGGCACTTGGGAGGGGTGAGGGGCTAATTTGTGGCATTCCTGCCAAAAAAGTTTGGCTTCCACTGGTATACAGCAAAGCTATTTGGGTTTGGGGGGGGGGGAGGAGCACAAGCGTGTAGTTACACAACTCTCTCCTGCTTGATGCTCAACATGTTTGAATGCATTTGCTGAGGTTATAGTTCCCGGCTTCAAGTTTTTTTCTCCTTTAGTTGTCTAAAGACAGGAAGTTACTTTGGATTACAGCAGACAACAGATATAGACAGTTGGATTTTTTTTATTTGATTTCAGCTACATGGGTGTACTATAAGCTGTTCCACAATGGGCAAGAGAGGCTTCTAGCTTTCCAATGGAATAAAACCTTAATCCCTAATGCTTCCTATTTGTGAGAAATTAGCTGTCAAAACTCATGCCAAAATGCAAATAAGGGGCTGGGGAGAATGGCAGTATGTTAATCATCATCATGTGATTTTAAGGTCCACATTCTTGCAACTTGCCAGATCTGGAAATAAATTCTGTACACTCCCAGTGCTACTGACTTTCCAGGGATAGAAGTATTTCATTTGGGCCCTGCTGTTTGTAAAGGCTCAGACCAGAACATTTCCACTTATCCATCATTCAGATTGCCAGCATCATCTTAGCGCTACTCCAGGCTTTAATTATAATTTATTTAATATCAGCCCACTTTTCCTTTTTTGTGTTGGTACTGGAGAATTCACTTTTGCGTGCCAGGTATGAGACAAGGAAATAAAACAACCCTTAGTCTGCTACATTTCAGTGAAGACAAGATGCTGTGGAGGAGAGGGCTATATTTAGTTACATGTTCTAAAGCATGAAGGAAGCAGGACTTAGTAAGACGAGGCCTACTTTTCCCTCTTGAGAAATGCAAAAGAGCTGTAGTGTGTTGTTATGGAGCTTCCTGTATTTGTCAAGCTATGTTTTAATTCCAAGTGCTGCCTGCCAATAAATCAAAATGGCTTTTAAGATTTCATTGAGATGTTGGGGGAAGGGGGGGCAGGGGGAAGAAAGAAAGAGGGCAAGTACAGCACTCTCAGAAAAACCCCATTGAGAATTCTGGTAAACCAGGCTCCCCGGAGGTGCATGCACATCACCAGGGAAGCGGGTCAGATTGGCTGGGCTCCACTTTAGCAAAGCCTGCAGTGGTGTCGCAACCTCCGACTGTCCTGCTCTCCCAGTCACTGTCTGTCACTTGGGGGAGCTGAACGGGAGCAAATCAATTCTCAATGGCCCTAGCATACATAATGTGAGTCTTTACAGGTTTAACTTAGTATTATGGCAGTGGCAATAAAATCAGATTTAGGACTCATTGAAGTCAAACAGGTTTTTTGTTACTGATAATAGGAGATCTTACCGGAGCTCTGAGCAGCCAGACTCCAATTTAAAAGCGGATTACCCCCCAACTGAACATGATGGGCCCAATTCTGCCCTCGGCTGCATAATCCAAAAATATGTCCTCACAGCTGACAGTAAAATGCATGTGTACTCTGAGAGGTGATAAGTATTCTCACTGTCATTGAAATGAGAATCATTTGCCACAGTAATGTACTAAAATCTGGTGGCAGATGTATTTAAGCCAAATTTACCAATTTCAAATACAAGGTAATAGTGGTTTTTTTGTGGTTTTAAGATGGCAAACCCTATGACATTGCTTTAGGCCATCACCAATGGAAGCGGATATCTTATGAAAGGATTTTAGGAGCTTGCAATCTTTCATAAATTGAATGCTAACTGGAGAACTATTCAAAAGTTTATTTTTAAAATGTAAACGGTGTGCCTATTTATAGGAACCTTATCACTTATTATTTGACAAAGTCTGACTCCATAGAGATTTCTAGTGGAGAGGATAAAGAGAGCTTTGATATTAAGTAATTATGGGTTATTTCTGGAATCGTGGTAAGTGGTATTTACGATTCTCAACGCTCACTGATATTTCTGGTTTTTGTGCAATTTATATGCTAAATAAGCACGTTCAAATTGGACAACACATGAAAGGTACATGAGACTCCTTTAAAAAAAATCTTAACTTGAGCTACTGGAGACTCTAAAGTGAGGTTATAGAAAACGTGGAGACAGCCACGCGTTTACAAACAGAAACACCTTAAGCACATTTATTCTCACCAAGCACAATTAAGCTGGCAACACAGAGCCATGGCTGGTCTCTGCTCCGGAAAGTCCTG